AGCATTTCTAAGCCTAAAGCCTTTAAAAAGCCCTTCCTTGGCTTTGATTCACACTTCACTTTCCTTCTCTTCCTCCTCCTTGTCTAATTTTTAGTGATTTTTGTCTTTCCAGGAAAAATAAAAACAAAAATATAGCCATGGTAGTAGCATGTAATTAAAAACAAACTCCTTATCAGTGCTATCTCCTTTGTCTTTTACAGTTTGATTTATGTTCTGTATAATTCATTAAATAGATTTTTCAGGGATTTCTCCGGAGATTTTTCTTGATCTCTTTCCTTTTGAATTAATCCGTTTTATCAGTCTCCAATTCATCCATTTCTCTTGCAGTAGTCATTCTTCAATCCTCCTTCCTTGAACGATGATGATGATGATGATGATTAGGTTATTATGCTTTTGTTTTAAGTGCTGCTCATTTTACCTAGTTTTGTTATTCTTTCTTATTAAAATTTCACCTGTCTAACAATACTGGTAAGCTAGCTGAGGTTGCAAGTGACTTTCAGATATTTCTAACAGTTTGATCGGCTCTAAGTGGGCAAAGATTTGCTAACACTGACTATGCCATTTAAAATGTGACTCAGACACTAGTGGCATAAAGAATTATAAAATGCTTGAGTTATAGCACACAACCACAGCAAGCTTATGACCTGCTCAAGAGGCCAGGACCTATTTGTAAGCACAAACCTGCATGGTTGCTGAAAATTGTCTGTCCTCAGAAATTTGGGGGAGAACTAGCAGCCAGGATTTAAGGAGATGTTCTCCTGTTCCTTTAAGATTCTTTCTGCTATTTCATAGACATAAATAACCTAAGATATTCCTAAATGCCTTTTACTTTCTTTGAAAATATACACATTATCTACACAGCCTTGCTTCATTTTTTTTTTTTTGGTCATAATTAAATTCAGATGAAATGTTTTTCAAGTGCAAATGTTAAAAACTGTAAACACAGTAAGAGAAAAAAATTTCACTGTAAAAACCAATTCACTAACTACAGATGTAGATGAAAGCAGAATACATTTTTAAAATGATTTTCGAGGTTAGAATTTTAAGCAGTTAAGTTGCTAGTAGAGAACTCCGTGGCAACAGAAAAGCACATTTGCAAGTGTCTGGTCCTCACCAAGGTCCGCTGCAGAAATCATTAGATTCATGTGTTTGCAGATTATGTAACAGTTTTTAAGTGGCCAGGAAAGGGAGGATTTTGTGGTCAGAAAAGTGGAAATGTTCTATTTAACATATGACCCTGGCCAGGCCCATCTCAAATTACTGTTGATCAAGTTACAGGTGATTGGCAAGTCAGGTGGGAGCCAGCATGTGCCTGATGAATCTTCAATAAACATTTTGCCACAAATCAGTGGCTATTACCATTAAAACCATGACCTTAACTCTCTGATATTTAAAATAACGCAAAGAAAAATTGCAAAGCATTGTGAGCTAGACGTTGCTTTAAAAGGCTTGAAATTTACCCTCTCCTGGTGATCTTAGAACAAGCAAAACATAGCTTTGTGAAAATGACCTAAAAACATATTATTAGAGCTCCAGATTAACAGCTTTATAATCATAATTGAATGTGTTTTCTGTTTTACACAAAAACCATGCATCTCAATTTTTCAAATTTCCAGATGTTTAAAACATGTAAGAGCCGATCTAGGACTTAATTCTTGTGAGGAAACACCAGCAGAAAACAAATAAACAGAAGCCCAGACTTTTATCTCTCTCCCAACCCCAAATAGTGGTATTTGGCATTGATCTCAACCGATTGCTGCTAAAGTGGCACATTAATGAGACAGTAATCCAGAGCCAAAACAGGGAGAAAAAAATTGTTTGTTATGATTGTGAAATTTTTTAGGGAAGTATACCCAACACTCAAACACTGCCAAAGAAAAGCTAACCTCGAGGCCAATTTTTAAGTGCTAAGATTTGATGAGAAGGTAGAATCCCGCCTCCGCTCCCCCCCCCCCCCGCCAAAAAAATACACCCTACCGCAGCCAACTTTTGAGGAATTTATTTTACTTATAGTTTGAATAGAATACACTTTATCCACTTAGACTGCAGTTCGATGAATTGTGGCAACTGTGATGTAACTACCACTCCTTTCGAGATACATAATCGTTTTTCTGACCTCCAGTGTCCTCTTTTCCTTTCAATTTCTGGCCAGGCAAATGCTTTGTGTATCTAGTTTCCATCTTCTAAAACTCAGGCATGGACTCAAATGGTCTTTTCTGAGATTTCCCCTCAGAGTATGATATTTTCAGATCCGTATTCACACTGAGTCAACGCTGTGCCACCTTTTGGGGCACGATATGTTGTCAGACAACTTTACCTGCATGGTCCTCATTCCAGTTCCTCTTCACCACCCTGATGGACAGCATTTCAGTTTGGTAAGGGAGCACCGAGCAACTCCAGCCAACCTGCTAGCACCTGCTGTGAAGCATGAGGGGACAAATGGGACCAAGCCACGTGGAACAGACGCTGGCAAAACATGCACCCTGGAAGTGGGTGAGTCATGCTTGGAACCCCAGGCCCAGGGCTTCCCCGAGGCTGAAGTCGCCACGCTCTTGGGACACCCCGTGCCCACGCAAGTGCCTCCGGGACCAAGGGCTCCAGCTGGGCGGCCGCAGGACCACTGGAGCACACAGATGATGCACAGACCTTCAAGGTCATAGAAAGGGGAGCCCGACAGCAAACATACCCGAACTTCAGCTTTGCCGGTGGCCCACAGAAGCAGCGCGCTTATATACGAGCGCGCTGTGCCGCACTACACCCGGCGTCTCACTCCGCGCCACGGCAGGCGTTCCACTCCGCGCGCGGGCGGCCCTACTTCCCGGCCGGGCTCTGGGCCCCGAGCTGCGGTGTCGGTGTCGCAAGCGGGCGGCCTTCCCGCTCCTGCCTCCGGGCTCCTCGGGAGTGGCGGGCCGCGCGCCGCCGCCGTCCGCTGGACCGACCTGGCTTCGTCCTGCGCGGCGGCGTCCTGGTTGCAGGGCCCCGGGAGACTTCGCGTCTGGACGCGATGGGACCGAGCCGGCGGCGCCTCGGCCTGGCCCCACTGGGCCCCGGAGCCGACTTTCGTTTTCTGCCGAGCGCGGCGGCCTTGTTCCCAGCGGCCACTCACGGACTCAGGGCGGCTCTGTGTCTGCGGCCTTCCGGGGCTGCAGGAACCGGCCCGCGCCCGAGGAGGGTTTGCCTTTGGCTTGTGCCCAACCTTCTCGTTCGGATTCGAGCTGCCGGCCATCGGCGGCGGCGCTGGGTTTTGATGTTTTCTCATGCTCTAAGATTTTGCAGGGAACCGAGTTTTCTGGCTCCCTGCATCATCACGTTGTGTTAGAAAAAATAAATAAATAAAATAAAAAAATCGAGAAAGCCGGGGCTGGCCGCACTGCACACAGGCTGGGCTGTTCGTTCTGCAGAGGCCTGCCCGTGCGGGGCGAACAACCCTGGGCAGAAGCAAGGGAACCAGAGAGCCTTGGCGCCCAGGGGAGGGAACCGCCCTGGGTTAGAGTTAGGTTAGGGGTCCCATAATATGATTCATGACTGACTACCCAGAGAGAATGTGGGAAGAAACTCGTCCAAGAACCGGCTTTGAGTCATCGGGGAAAGGCATCTGTTTGAGCATACAACCTGTCAGGAATGACAAAACAAAAAAATAGCAAGGCAGACGAGGAAGTCAAGTTTGGCTTTACAGTTTCTTTGTCGCAAATTATCCTCCACAAGCATGGCAATTAACCCCGTGCTAACATTAGATAGTTTTCATATTCATTGGTTTCTCCCTGTAAACCTATGAGAACAGCGAGTTCACTGTTTTCCCTGGAGCATAGTGTGTGTAGTATTTGGCAATGGACTGGGAGCGGTTTTTTGTTTTTCTGTTTTTTTGTTTTGTTTTGTTTTTTGCAGATATTTGCTGAGTCAGCAAATAAGATGCAACCACAATTATTTAAAGGTCCTGTGAGTTGAGGATAAAAACCACAAGACACAAGAGAAATTGCTCTCCTAGCTCACTTTTATTTTTTGGCTCAATAATCCATAAGGAGTAGCTAAGAGGTAGCCAGTCTGTCATTTCATTTTTCAAAGGGGGGAAAAAAAGGGAGAGCTCTCCTCTGTGCTGCTTTTCATTCCAGAGACTGATACTGTGATGTCAGTTCACCTCAAGTGTATGAGGAAAATGAACGTCCATAATTGTTCACCGATCTCCAGTATATGGTCGTTTGAGTAGCATTCATGGTGGGCTGCTGTGGGACTTTAAAAACGCCGACACAGTATTATACACTATTAAAAACACACCTGGAGAGTGCTTCGGAGGAAAATTGGGTGAACCTCCTTTAGTTTCGAGGGGAATGAGATGAAATGGGAGTGTGGAGACTCAGAATAGCCAGCCAGCCCCAAGGGATTCTCCTGTATCAATTTCCATGTCTTTTGGTTAGGAAAAGTCTACACCTTGACTAGGCAGGTTTGTAATACCTGAGAGCTGGAAAAGCTCTTCATGAGAAGTGTAAGATTTCATGTATGCATCTGCAATCGTTCCAGTAATGATGGCATCCTAATATCCAACACTGGAGACGTTTGGAGGTCATGCGTTCAAGTCTATTCGGCTAGCGAGCGTCTGTTGTGTGTCAGGCGTTGTTATAGATGCCACAGATACAGCAGCGAACAGACAAGTCTTTCCATGCTCTTCACTATTCCACTACCAGGACCTTCCTTCCACAGCATCTTTTTCCCTGTTTTAATCATTCATTGGCCGTCTGCTTTCTTTACAACCTGGGTCCCTTCACCAGATTTTAAATTTGTTCCTATTTCCTGTCCCTCCCTCAATTCACTCAAAATATAAATATATGAAATAAATATGTGAAGTAAAATGTGATGAAATAAAATGTAAGGTCATAGCCAACTTTTAGCAAAAGAATTAATTTTTAAATTTTCATTTGCTAAAAGTCTAACCTCCCTGGTTTCTTTCAGTTGGCTATTGTGTAAATGAGAATAATTACTATCTAGTCAGCTTCTACCCTTCTGTAAGACTGTTTTCTTCACCTAAGCTTTGATCATAGCCAACTTTACAGCACACCCAAAAACAGAATGCAGAAAATAGCAACATTAAACAAACATTTGAAAACAGAGGTCCTCAAGATTGATTTCCTTTCATCTCCCTCATTCCCTCTCCTTTCTCTCCCCCCTGTTCTCTCTTATCTCTCCCTCTCTAGGTCTCTGTCTCTCTTGACAGAGTCTCACACTGTACCTCAGCCTGGACTCAAATTCCCAGCAACCTTCTGACTTAGCCTCCTCCTAAGTGCTGGGATTACAGGTATGCACCATTTTATCAGACTTGGAGGATTTTTAGAAAGTAGTTATTGATACTAGCTTAGAAATCCAGATTGTATGAAAAGATCCTAGTGTATAACACAGCCTCAGAAGGAACTGTCAATCCTAATTTATGTTAGTTGTACTGTATTTGATTTTATTCCATTAGTTTTCTCTAAAAATTCTCCCTTAAGTCTAAAAAGTACTCACTGCCCTAAATATTCTCTGAAGGCCATAGCTTAATTAGAATTCTCTTCCTTCCCCCATTTCATGTTGGAATGTATTGTATTTCAGATTTGCTAAAACACTTCTCTGCTTTAAACATTTCTCTGGTCTAAAGGGAAGATGTCAGCTGGTTTCCTCCCAATCTTCCTCCTGAAATTACCCAAATATTGAGGTCAGGGATGGATTACTTGCTGTGCTAGTGAGTCTTGGTGTTGACTGGTGTACGAGAATCGCTTGGGAGGCTTTTAAAAATGACTGGTTTCTAGCCTGCCCTTGACTAGTTAAATTAGAACCAGTGGAATTGGAGTCCTCGTGTTGGTATCTTTCTTTATAAAGCATCTAGAAAATTATATGGAACAGCTACTTTGGGAACTCATGTAATAGAAAGCTCAGATATATGTTTAAAACAGGTTCTCAAATTCAGTATCCCCTTGTCTCTACCTTCCAAGTGATGGGATTACAGATGTATGTCATTATGTGTGTGTTCACTTTCCTTATCTTAAAACACTGATAGGAGTATAAATATAAAATTACTGTAAATGCACACATTAAATGTGCATTTTGGTGTGTGCACCACAACTATCAATGTAACATTTTTATCACTTCCAAAGTCTGGTTGTACCCCTTTGCTGGCAATCTCTACCCATCATTTTCAAACAACCCATGACCTGTTTCCTGTCACTATGGATTAGCTTGCCTATTCTGGAATTTATTTAATAACTCCAGAGACTTGGGAGATGGCTCAGTAGATTAAAAAGCTTGCTGGTCCAAACATGAGAACCTGAGTCTAGATCCTCACTTGTGCTGTGGAAGCAGCAACCAGAGGATTCCTGGGACTTGCTAGCCAGCCAGCCTAGCTGAATCAGTGAGCTCCAAGTTTTGTGACAGACCTTGTCTCAAAAATTACTGTGGAGAAGCAATTGAGAAAGAAACTTGGCTCAAACCTCTGGCCTCCACAAATATGCACACATGTGCATACAAATACATAAGCATGTATACATGAAAACTGCCATACATACTACATTTGTGTGTCTGGATTCTTTCAGTGAGCCTAGCCATAGCCTTCTGCAGTGTGCCTAAACCACCCTCCCATTAGGACTGGCATCTATTTTCCAGCTCTTGAATCTAGGCAGATACTCTAATTCGATTTGGCCAACAGAATACGGTGGAAATGATGCTATGCTGTATGATGTATTTTACCCATGTGGATCACAGCTGTCATATAAACATGAGCTATGTTACAAAATCGAGAGGGGTGTGAGCATGGGGGTAGTGCTCAGGGGCAGGGGAGGGGGGACGAGAAACCTAGAGGAGAGTAAAGGTGCCCCACCCAACAGCATTAAAGTCCCTGGGCATGGAGATGAAGCCATTTCAGCCCTGCAGTCCTAGGTGAGGGACCCCGGTCAAGGAACATGCGGGTCCGAAAAGAACTGGTCTCACTGTTCATGCCTGAATTGCTAGCCCCATGAGCTGTGAGCAGATGAAGTGCTCTTGGCTTAGTACTGAATCTTGGGATGGCTGGTAAGAAGCAGGAGTTAGCTAAAGCCATGAGTGTTCTGCCTCATCATCCTTTAAGGACCAACAAAGCTTCTTTCTGACCCTAAGAATAAACTGGGCGGTGGTGGTGCATGCCTTTAATCCCAGCACTCAGGAGGCAGGGGCCATCTGGTTTACAAAGTAAGTTTCAGGACAGCCAACACAGAGAGGGAAAAAAAATATATATATATATATATATATATATATATATATATATATATATATATATATATATATATATATGAGCTTACCTGAAGTCTTTCCCACATCTCTACTTCTTTTTCATACTTTTTTTTTTCTACAGATATAAACTGCATCTAAATTTTGATTTCACAACTGTTTCCATCAGCTTGAAAATTATGGTGTCTTTTTTTGCATTCTACTTTATGGGCTTTAAAAAAAATGTATCAAGTCTTTCCCTCTTCCACAGTGTTCTGGCATTTGAATCACAGCACAACATAAAGAGAAGAATGGTGAGTGGGGGAGCCAGGGGCCCTCACTTCAGATGTAATGAGCTGTAAGGTTCTGGGAAAGTGTGACATCTTCCTGGCCCTGATTGTCTCCATATAAAATAGAAGTATTTCCTGGGATGATAGAGTGTCGAGTGCATAAACAGATGGGAGAACTATGCAAAAGTAAGAGGACTCTGTTTTTATAGCTGACAGAGCCTCTGCAGAGAGACTTGCGTGCGTTCCTTGTGTGTCGGGTTCTCTCCTGTAAGCCTGAGCAAGATTGATTTGCCCATCATATGGAAGTCAAGAGAAGCACTAGCTCTGCCTTATGACTTTTTGTTGGTGTGTGTGTGTGTGTGTGTGTGTGTGTGTGTGTGTGTGTGTGTGTGTGTGAGAGAGAGAGAGAGAGAGAGAGAGAGAGAGAGAGAGAGAGAGATTTTGCTATTTTTCACATAATGTTTGGTAGTGGTCTAGTATAAGACTCATTATGGTCAAGCAAGCCAGGTGAAGGAAACCCACTCGTGGAAGGGTGAGCTGGGGTCGATGTGAAGAAATGCACTGGTTCATGGAGGCTAACAACTCTTTAGAAGCTGCTGCCACTTGGGATTGCCTTAGCAGTGATTTTAAACATTGATTGCAATTCTTGTATTCCCTGACTCTTTTCCAAGTTTCTGTTTCACTTTTGTTTCCATAGCAACCTGCAGAGATAGGCAATAGATATTTAAGTAAGAGTTGAATGAATGAAAGGAGATAAAGGCCAAGGGAAACACTTAAACGTCTTACATGTGGCCCAGGCTTCCAACTGCCAATTCCTAGAAGACAGAGTAAAGAAGACGTGAAATGCCACCTCAGGATACAGTCAGCCAAATCCTAAGGGAAGAAATTTTTAGGACAAGCAACGAAATTTCTTGTAAAAATTAATTGCAAATGGGGACAAAGAGCTGGAGGAGGGTTGTGGGACAAAGGAGATGCAGGAGACATAGCATTCAGTTGCAAAGTGTGTACTTTATTTGGATTCTGATTTTATGTTCAGGTTATTAATTTATGTGCATCGGTGTTTGTCTGCATGTGTGTCTATGTACCGTGTGCATCCTGGGGCTGGCAGAGGTCAGAAGAGGGTCTTAGATCCCCTGGAACTGGGGTCACAGAGGGTTGTGGGAACCTAACCTGGGTCCTCTGCAA